CTGGCGTCCCGCTCGCGCCTCATGCTGCCGCGCTCCGGCGCCGCCGGCCTCAGCCCTGCCCGCTCAGGGGGCCCACGGCGCTGCGCAGCATGCTGGGGAGGCGGGGGGCAAAAGTCCCCTGCGGGCGGGCGGAGGGAGGGGGCGGGGCGGAGACGCGAGGCCCCGCCTCCCCGCGGGAGCCTCAAGAGCCTCCTGGGCTGCTGGGCTCCAACGGCCGCGCGGGGGCGGGGACACGCTCATTGGCGCGAGCCGCTTGGCCCCGCCCCCTTCCCCCAGCCCGGCCACCCCTGTGGCTGCACGAAGTGGGCGGGACGCTTCCCCCACTACTCTGATGAGCCCAGCTGAGGCGCAGACGCAGCGAGTCTAGTGTCCCCGCTTGGAGGGCGCTTTCACCTGTCCTCCTCCGGGGCTGTCTGTGCAGCGCCCCGCCCGTCCCTGTGTGACCGCGCGGCCCGCTCGCTTCACGGGTGCTCCGCTGCGCCCCGCTCCAGCACTGGGCTGCCAGGTGCACGGGAGTTGTCTTGGTGTCCTCGCTTCACCCTTGTACCATATACGAGCAATAGCGGAAAAACTAGCGTTGGAAACGTAGGAGAGCACAAAGCCTAGGATCGTTTTCGAGGTGGCGACTGGATGCAGCCTCTATCCAAACCCGAGTCACTCTCGAAGCTGAGCCCACTTCTGGGTTTGCTGCCAGCGCTTTTTTTTTTTATGACTGCTTGTCTCGCAATAAAAAAAAAAAAATGCTTCCACTTCGATGACCCACCTCTCGCTGGAGACTTAGTGAGCAATATGAAGTCAATAAGAAGATTTGTTTGCAGGCTTGTTTGCATATTTTTTCCACGTGCGGTAGTTTTTCAGCAGATACCATCATTTTGGATTTAAGACCTGGCAGCGCAGCTTCGGTGTCACAGACTGTGTTGCCATTCACTGCCAAGGAGCTTGTGGCACCTGCTGCCTGCCACCTTCCCTGCACTGGCTGGGGCAGGGATGAACTCCTTCCCTCCTGTCCCTCATCACATGAATGCTGTGTGCCCCTGGAGGCTGGTAGGGCATGGCAACCACCTGCAGGTGCTGCTGGTAGCAGCAGCCAGCGATGGTCGGGGACCACCCGCAGACAGTACCAGTGGTGTCGGTGGAAGGGGTGGTGAGCAGCAACTGCCTGCAGGTGGCACTTCTCACAGGGGGTTCACCGCCAATGTCAGGGGGTGTACATGCACCACCGTGTACCCCTTACACATTGCCAATGCCCCATCGGGGGGGGGGGG